AAAACTAGCGAATTAAGGAAAAACGAATTCAACTTTTATTGAAAACGTGTTTAACTTTTTGTTTACATTTCTTGATTGACGCAGTAGGGGCAATTAGGGTACTGTAGTTACACACTTAACAACAATAGACCTCAAGACTCGCTTCCTGTCATCAAGGTTTGGGCAAGCTGGTTTTGTAAGCTTTTGTCCACTTCTGCTTGAAGTTTTGAACCGATTTTGACTTTCCTCCAATTTTCCGGCAATCAGCCTTTATTATTGCCTAAAATTTCTCGATCGGTCGGAGCGCTGGACAGTTTGGAAGATTAATGTCACGAAGTACCACAATGACACTATTTTCCTTGTCACTGTTGAGTAGTGGCAAGATGCCAAATTGGACCAAAACAGGGTGTTTTGGTTTGTAAAAACTGACGGCAGAGTCCGGAGGCCAGCACAGCGAATATCACCCCGCGATAGGACTTTCGGAACGAAAAACCCGGAGAAAAACACGCGATTATCACAAACTATAAAATGGACTTTTTATTTACTTCTGCTCGCGGTACAAAAGATAATAGTCGGAAGAACATAAAACATAAGCTGTCAAAAACACAGTCCAAAATAGCTAGAATAGTAGGTAAGCTACGTCAGGTATGCAGAAAAGTAGCAAAGTAAATTAGAGAAGAGGTAAGCATTGCACCCTTCCACACTCCCCCTCAATGTGTAATCTCTTCCTTTAGCCCGAGCAATACGCAGAATTCTCGGTGCTTTTGTGGTCCTAGAGGCTTCGTCATGATGTCGGCTGTCATATTCTCCGTCGGACAATACTCCAGCCGTATCTTCTTTGTTTCACACAGCTCCTGGACGAATCGCTCTCGGGTGTCGATATGCTTGGACCGTCTGCTTGTCCTCTCCGACCGCACAAACGCCAAACATCCCTGATTGTCCTCCTTGAGAACCGTGGGCTGATCCTGTTGCTCGCCAAGATCCTTGAGCAGCTGCCTGAGCCACAACGCTTCTTGACACGCCTCGCTGAGCGCTACGTATTCGGCTTCCATGGACGAAAGGGTCACGCAAGATTGACGACGGCTTTTCCACGAAATTGTAGCTCCACCGAACACGAACACCGCTCCGGAAGTAGAACGACGACTGCAGACGTCACCTGCCCAATCTGCATCAGAGAAACCAAACAGAGGTTGATCACCAGTTCCGCCCAACTGCAGTTGATAGTCCTTCGTGCCTTTCAAGAACCGTAGTACACGCTTCGCTGCTGTCCAATCACAATCCGTCGGTTCGCTGAACTTCCTTCCCAGAATGGCTGCACTGGCGGCAATATCCGGTCTTGCAACAACGGCCAGATAGAGAAATCCACCAACCAGGCTTCTGTAATTCGTCGGATCGTCGAACGCTTTTCCTGAATCCACCATCTTCAAGTATCCAGGATCCATCGGCGACTTCGCTGCTTTTGCTTCTTCCATTCCGTGTTCCTTCAGCAGTTTTTCAATATAATTGCGCAAGCTCACCTTGAACGTATCTCCTTCACGCTTCACTTCAACTCCCAGGAAATGCCGCACTTCCCCGAGGCTGGTCAACTCGAACTCCGCATTCAGGCGATCCTGGATCTTCGTCATCTCGCTTTCATCCGTAGACGCTAACAACAGGTCATCAACGTATACCAACAGAAGTACTCTAGCCTTCCCGCCATCCTTCACATACAAACAGGGATCTGCCGTTGCTGCCTTGAATCCGTTCTTCACGAGCACTTCATGTAGTCTTTTATTCCAACAGCGAGCCGACTGACGCAAACCATATATGCTTCGTTGAAGACGGCAAACAAGCTTTTCCTTTCCGGGAGAAACGAAGCCCGGAGGTTGGCGCATGTAGACTTCTTCTTCGAGGATTCCATGCAAATACGCTGTCTTGATGTCCAGATGTTTAACGAACATATTGCGCTTCGCTGCCACTGTCAGAAACGTCCGGAAAGTTGCTTGACTGGTCACGGGAGCAAAAACTTCACCAACATCAACTCCAAACCGTTGCGCATAGCCCTGAGCCACCAATCTAGCTTTGAACTTAACTATGCGGTTGTTTTCATCTCGCTTCGCCTTGTAGACCCATTTGGATCCAATGACCTTGCGTCCTTCCGGCAGCGGCACTAACCGCCACGTTCCGTTACGCTGATGAGCGTCCAACTCCTCTTGCATCGCCTTGCGCCACACAGGTTCTTCCATGGCATCCTTCAAGTTAACAGGTTCTTCAACTGCACACGCTGCTACGCCTGCAGCATACTCCAGCTGGAAATCATCAAGGTACTTCGGACGCACACCTCGAGTCGACCGTTCTGTTCGCCGAAGGGTTGAACTTGCACCTTCATCTCCACTATCCGCTTCATAGTAGTCTTCGGGATCACTTTCACGTTCGTCTTCATCCGGATCCTTATCTGGAATGTCTTCTTTCTTCGGCAGCAGCTGGATTTCTTCTTCTTCAGCCTCCTTGCTTGCAACCGGAAACGATACTTCCACTGTCGTAGTACCATTCCCGAGTTCGATGAACCGTGCGTCCCGGCTTATGGTGATTTGATCCGTCTCCAGGTCCACGAAACGATATCCTTTCTGGTCTACTGCATACCCGATGAACGTTAACTTGGTCGCCTTGCTATCCAATTTCTTGCGTTTGACGTCCGGTACGTGCACGTAGGCGTGGCTTCCAAACACCCGAAGATGGCTGAGGTCCGGCTTACGACTCCACCACAGCTCATACGGTGTCTTCGGGATCGATCTTGATGGTAGTCGGTTCTGCAGGTACGTAGCAGTGAGAATAGCTTCACCCCAGTACCGCTTCTCCAATCCAGCATCTACCAACATACACGTTGCCATCTCCGTCAGCGACCTGTTTTTCCGTTCGGCAACACCGTTCTGTTGGGGAGAATAGGGAGTCGTGAACTGCGGTTGAATCCCTTCCGATTTGTAAAACGCCCGCAGCTCTTTATTATCAAATTCACCCCCTCCATCAGAGCGCACAACGTGTGGTTTGCGCCCGAAAATATTATCGACCCATCGAACATAATCTTTCAGATTACCGGCTGCTTCCGATTTATGTTTCAGAAGGTATGTGACTGTAAATCGGCTGTGATCATCAGTGATCGTCATCACATACCGATTGCCACTCGGGGTGACGTTATCCATAGGTCCACATAAGTCAGTGTGGACAATGTCCAACACTCGACAGGACTTCCGGTCAACGACCGGGGGGAAGGGAAGCCTAGCAGACTTACCTTCCATGCAGCATTCGCACACCAGGCGTAGCCCGCATTCGCTCACCTTGATTCCAGTAGCCATGTCCTCTTTCAGAATCCGCTCAGCCGCAGCCCAATCACGATGACCGAGCCGACGATGCCACTGGTGCTGGCAGTTGAGTTTATGCACCCCTTCAGATGCAGTCATCGATGCTTCTGCAACCCGCAGATAGTATAAACCGCCTCGGCAGTTTCCCGTAGCAACAACTACACCTTCAGCATCGAGTATTTCACAACCACTTTTGTGAAAAACTATTCGAAAACTCTTCTGAGCCAACTTCCCGACCGATATCAGGTTGGTAGACAGTCCTGGCACGAATTTCACATCGTTCATTTCTATCTTCACGGTATTACCAGCAGCGCCAATGCCATGGATCACTCCGCTTCCTTCTCCTTCGATTTTCGTCTTCTTACCATCCGCCAGTGTGATACAGCCACCAGCGAATTCACTCAACGATCCAAAAAACGACCTGTCGTTGGTCATGTGCGCGCTGGCACCGCTATCGATCACCCAGCTGGACGATTTTTCTTCTCCAGCGACGAACGCCACACCTCTGACGTCACCCTGAGCAGCTTTGGCCTTGGCATGACCATTCGTATCAGAACGGGACGAATTCCCATCCTTCTTCAGCGTCGACAAAAACTTTCGGCAATTCCGCTTGATATGCCCGGGCTTCTTGCAGAAGTGGCAAGTACGCACATCCGGCTTATTCTCCGGATAACGCATCTCCGATCGCATCGCTTTTTCCACCTTGGCCGGTCCTCCTTTTCGTTCCAGTTGCCGGTTGTATTCGTCCACCAGCTTTGACTTGACGACGTCGAGTGAAATATCGTCGTCTGAACGGCTGTCCAGAGCCGTAACCAAGCCGTCGAATGAAGGAGGAAGGCTGCGCAGCAGCATACAGACCTTGGTATCCTTGTCCAGCTTCATCCCTGCAGCATCCAACCGATCGAAAATGTCGTCAAAATCGTGAAGATGTTTTTCGACATCACTGTTTTCCGAGAGGTTTGTGGAACATAGTTTCTTTAACAGCGACACACGGATCGATCGGGTTGTCTTCTGATGATAGCGCTTGAGGGCATTGAATGCATCCTTGGCATGAGCGCAATCCCTCACCAACGGGAGCTGGCTGTCCTCCAGTAACAAAATCATCGTCGCTTTCGCCTTCCGATCGTCGCTCTTCCACATCGCAGTCAGGTTTGCTCCTTGCGGGATATCCTTCTCGATGACGTGCCAGAGGTCCTCTCGAGCTAGCAGCATCTCGAGGCGTATCTTCCAGGTTTGCCAGTTGGTACCGTTCAACTTGGCAATGGCAAATCTCGAATCAGCCATTCTTCACTTTCAATCAACCGCACTTTTGTCCAAAAAAAAAATGGCTCTTCACACCGAGCACAAAGGTCTTTCGCGGAATCGCACTTAGCCGACGCGACGAGCAAGCACACAACACTATTCGATTCTTCCCGATCGAATCTTTCCGTTTTCTGTTCCGATTCTTTCTGGGCCCATAACCTGACGGCAGAGTCCGGAGGCCAGCACAGCGAATATCACCCCGCGATAGGACTTTCGGAACGAAAAACCCGGAGAAAAACACGCGATTATCACAAACTATAAAATGGACTTTTTATTTACTTCTGCTCGCGGTACAAAAGATAATAGTCGGAAGAACATAAAACATAAGCTGTCAAAAACACAGTCCAAAATAGCTAGAATAGTAGGTAAGCTACGTCAGGTATGCAGAAAAGTAGCAAAGTAAATTAGAGAAGAGGTAAGCATTGCACCCTTCCACAAAAACTTGCTGAAGATATTCGAAACCGTTTGTTGCGTCTCCTCGACCGAATCCGCGAATATTTTCTGTGAATACACTGAACTATACACTGAAAGAAATTCTAACGTTGAATCAGACCACTGACGCGACCTCGGACGCGACAAAGCTACAAAAAATATTTCCGGGCACGCTTTACTTGAATTCTACTTTCAGCTTTTCAAACTATAGTTTTACGATTGAAAATATTTTCTCACAAAAATAAATTCATTAATTTGCGCTTGGTCACGTTTCTTTTCTTTTTTTTAAGCTTTATTATGAAGATTTTTAGCCAAGTGGCAAGTTCATCTCCGATTGAATGTATTCGTTTTTCCCTGAATATTTATTATAAACCGGTACTAAAAAGATTGCTGTATTATTCCTTTCAGGGCAAGGCCAAACAGGCACCCAAGCATCAGGCGAATAACAAAGCGAAAAAAGTCACTCTGGAATCGACCGGAAAATTTTCAAATCATAACGGGAAAGAGTACATCAAGGCAAAGCGACCCTCATCGGTCAATATGCCACAACTTGGCTTCTCAGCTCGACTGACATACGGACAGTTTAATATCGTCATACACAATCAAGGATCGCTGATGGTTATCGATGACAACTTTGTGGCAATAGTGAAGCTCAATCGACCGCACCTGCTGATTGATACACGGGACTTTCGACGTGCGACTGAAGTGCTACTCGAAGAACTTCGCGTCGATCGTGTGTTGCTGGATGAAGTGACCACAGACAGGGATAAGCACCGGGAGCTATTTCTAACGAGCTTGGAAAATGTGATCAAACAATTGGCTGCAGACGAAGGGCAAGTCAACACGATAATCGAGCTGCTGAAATTTGTCGAGAAACCCAAACAATGCAGAAGCATGACTTATTATGATCTCTGCGGTAAGGTTATGAATAATCGGTTTAAGAACGAAACGCTGCAAAGGTATGCCCAAATATTGGACAGTATAGAGCGGACAGCGTCTCGAAGGGAGAGATTATTCTGTCGATTCAGGCACGTTCCAAAGGACAATTCTCCGAATCTTTTCGAGTGGCTGAACCGATTGGTAATGGAGATTACTGAGCTTCACAGGAACAAGTTGATTACGAAAGCACCAGCGTATTTGCATAAACCACTCGGTACCATTGATCAGAAGCATTTGATGTTGATAAGCAGTAGCGATGTGAAGTTATTTACTGATATGACCAGCGCTCTGAAACCGGAAATTTTCGACAAACCCCTTCAAGATCTAGCCGACCGTTGGATCAATCAAGTCAAATCGATCAAAGGCAATCGCCTCGACAAACTCCTGCAATTGACAAATGTCAGCTTATTTTTCATTTGCAAGAGCTTGGAGGAGTTGATAATCGAGATTACTAAGCATACTGATCATCTAGAAACGGATTTACTGAAGAGCTCTAGTTTCGAGTGGTCCGCTCTCAAACAGCTCGTCTGGAAGACGGAGAACGCAGTAACAAAGTGTTTGCAACGGGAATACCATTTTATGTTTATGCTCATAAAGCATTTTGATGTGGATTTCGGCACACAACCTTTTCAGTACAAGACGCAACTATTCACCAACTATTCATTCCCAAAAGATGTTAGTAAATTCAAGAATATAATGCACGCAGTAAAAAAAAAATTATCGAATGATAGTTCCAAACCGAATCCACTTGGGGTTCCAGATGACTTCTACGTTTGGTATTGTCTGTTGGATGATGTATTGTTTCATGTTCTACCGAAGAACTGTGAGCTCGATTTGTTCAATAACGTGTTCGATGAATATATCCAAATGATTCGTGACGCAAAGTATGATCAGATGGAAACTCTGCGCGTTGTCACGCATAATCTAATTCATTTCATCGCCCAATCCTGCTCGTATCATAACATGACATCGCTGGATAAGGCTGTTCTCCAGAAACAACTGAATATGTTCAGCATCAAAAGCAACCAAAATGTCGCTTTTTTTTATAATTTCCGCGACCAGGTGGATGTGTTCAGCCGATTTTGGAATACTCGAAGTGACATCATTGATCAATTTTTGACGAAGATAAACCTCCCGGAGATAAATTTGTTGCAAGAACGCTTGATGAAAATCATGCAGATCGGTTTGGACAAGAACGTTGAGGTGGATACGATGGTGGCATTCTGCCGTACGTACAACGACTTTATAATCGATCTCAACGAAGTTTCTTTTGAATGGTACATCAAAGACATTCCCAAGTTCGATATGCAATCGTTTATAAATCTGCAACATGTCGAATTGGTCGATAACAAATGGAAGGATAATAGCAATCGAACTTACCGGGTACTCATTCCAGAGAAGTTTCCTACATTGTGTGGCGCATTAAAAACAACAGTAGCGGTACCGAAGCATTACGTAATTGAGGTTATTCAAGCTCTGCTTGAGAACATCGGCTCCCAGCTGCAGCGGAATTCCTGGGCAACTGATGAACATCTTTCGCATACGGACCAATTACTGTCCACTAACGAACTCATTTTTGCAATCAGAAATTCGCTACTCTACCTTAAAGAACAGATCGATTACGTTTCGTTCGATCAGTTCTACGACGAACGTGTAAAACCGTTTAACAGCGTTATCGAGACCACAACTTCACGACAGGACTTCTCGAACCGCATCAACCTCCTCCGTGAGTCGTTCTGGTACATTAGGAAGCAGAACGAAATCAGCTTCGAAGACGCGCTGCAGCTGTATGGCGAGTTGAATAGTACACATGATTTCCAATTGCTCCGCGACTCGTACGCGATGTATTCAAAGTTTTTCGAGGAATTTATGCAACTGTCCGTAGACAAAGAGCCCTCGGAAAGAACAGCGCTCATCGCAGTGAAGGTGAAAGATCAGCATTCAGATACTACTCTCTTCAAGGCGTGGGACGATCGCTTCAAGCAAGACCAAGTTCCCAAAATGCTTGCTGGATTGGCTGCAGTGTGGTCGATTCTGGTATCAAAGGACGTGGCCAAAGCAAGAAAGTACTTCAATCCTCATTGTATCCAGATTTTGTGCATCCTACGATTGCTGAGCGCTGACAAAGCCGACGAAGGAATCGACAAACATTTGGCTCAAGTGTTGACAGGACAGGGTAAATCGTTGGTTTTGGGACTTCTCGCGGCACTATTTGCACTGACCGGTCATAAAGTTCGCATTGCTTGTTACAGCGAGTATTTGGCCAAGCGAGATGAGCAGGACTTTCTCACTTTTTTTGAGACGTTTGATGTTGCTGAAGATGTAACGTACGGCACCTTCGATGATCTAGCCAATGAAATCATAGCTCCGAAGGTTGATGGTCAGACAATTAAACTCAGAAATCTGGTAAGAGATTTACTGTTCAAAGAAAAGGTTATTCTTCCACATCAACTCGTAACGGCTGATTCGAGTAAAAATATTCTGCTGCTGGACGAGGTCGATGTATTCTTTACGAAAGAATTTTATGGCAATACATATAACGCAGGATTCACACCTTTGATTCCAGGACTGGATCTTATTCAGGAGCAAATATGGAAGTATGTTGTCGCTGATTGTACGGATGTAGAAAGTCGTATTCGACAGTATATTCAAAGCGGGGAATTCAAAGAGCAAGGTGGGAAGTTTTTAGAATTTCTCGAAAGACCAAATAATTACAGTTTGATTAAAAATGATGGAACACAGATAACTTACACGAATAAGACATTGTTTGACGAACATGTTGGAATGATGGTAACAGACGCCATAAATGTCAATAAGGGATTGGGTTGTACTAAATTCAAATTGAACTCCGCTGGAGTAATAACCGTTTGTAAACGAGGAATGTATGTGCCTAATTTTGTTTATGGTTCCGAAAATGTTTTCAATTATTTCCGATTGAAAAAGACAAATTTCGTCACTAAGGTGAATGGGACAGAAAATTACGGGTATTTGAATATCTCCTGTGGTCCCTTGTCCTACGCCATGCTCCCGAAGAACTACCCTCTTATTGTAGGCGTATCCGGAACACTGACTTCGTTGAATCTTCATGAAAAGGATACAATTGAACGTTTGTACAACATCAAGCAAATTTCGGTGATGCCAACGTTTTTCGGCTGCTCAAACCTCCAGTTCGACGAAATCGCCAATTTCCAAAATCACGCGACGAAACCCTCCTGGAGAACCAACATCTTCAGTCAAGCTAATCAAATCATCAAAGCCAATCGAGCGGTGATCATTTTCTTCGATACCGACGTCGAGTTGAATGCATTCGAAACAGAATATGCGGGACAGCTAGATCGAGTGAACGTGCTGACCGAGAACACCGAAGACAAAGAAAGGTTCATCAACGAAGCAGGAGTGGCCAAAACAATCACTTTGGCTACCCGTGGAATGGGCCGAGGAGTCGACTACAAGTCCAGCGTGACTGTGGAGAAGAACGGCGGATTGCACGTCGTTCAAACGTTCTTTTCGATGGATATCAAGGAGGAAACCCAAATCAAAGGACGGACCGCCCGGAAGGATAACAAGGGAAGCTATGAGCTGATTGTGTGTGACGAGGATTTGCAATCGGGTGGGCTTATGTCCGGCCTAAGCAATGTAAGCTACGCCGAGTTGGATGCCGCAAGAAGCAAGATTTCGCTTGATGAAAATGCAGAATTGTCGAGGAAAATACAGGATAGTATGGATGCTCACCAGAACACGATGAACTACATGAAGTCATTTTATAAGAAGGCATAAGGCATCTCCGTTAATACTTAAAGTTTGAACAGTGTGTTTCGGGATTTCTTCTGAATACCCACATTCTGGTATCACTTTACGAACAGAAGTACTAAGGTATCAAGATAATCCGTTCTTTCTAGTACAAAAGTAAGCAAAGGCATTAGCAAAAGGATGGAACCCTTCACGCGACGCCGCACCTACTCATTAAGGTCATTGATGCAGCGGCGCTATATAATTTTAATGATAAAGCATATCGTAGCGCTTTTTTACTATATGGGGAAAGGGCGGTTAAGTTTAATTACCATACAATATTTATCATTTTCAGGAACAAAAAAAAAATGTCGTTCTATCATAGTAAAATTACACAATCATTATTTTTATTAATTGCATATGGAACGATATGCTTATAGTAGTCTGTTGTTAAAAAATGATGAATGAAATATTATGAATATATGTACGTAGAACTATATCCCGAATAGTTCATTTTTTTTTTTCGTTTATAGGCACAATAAAGATCGTTTTATTTCATTAAAACAAATCAACATGTTTTATTCCATTCTCAAATACATTGATATTGTTGTATTGTTGTATTGTCCACGCCAAATCGGTCAGTCACCAAACTTGACTATCTTCGATCTGGATGATACTTGGCACATATTTTCAGTATGATAGACCAAGTATTTTCCGCAGGAGAGGAGACCCTTTTGGCTCAAGGGTAATTTTTGAAAAGGGCCTATGTGTTTTTGCACACATACTTTAAAAAAAAATGTAGTTCGAAAACAGTTGGTTGCAGAAAAAAAAAATGCTAAGAAGGAGTTGTAGGAAACTAATAAGGCTTTATAAAAAAATTCACACAGAATTTTTTTTTCGTTTTTTTTCAAAAAAAAAAAATAAAAATAAACCTCAAAATTCAAATAACAAAAAGAAACGTGTTTTTGATTTTTTTTTCATTTTTTTAATAAAAACTTGAATGGAAAGCAGAAGTTTTGAAAACAACTCCAGGATGGACAAACTTTTAATAAAAACGTTTTTCTAAGAGCAACTTGTAAGGCATTTTTAAAACTTTCATTATTTACGGCAAAATGTTCAGTTTGATGTCAGTATATGATTATAAAAATCATTTCAAACGATAGTGCTTATATCGATAAACTTCCTAAATGTAACCGTTTTCGAGATATTTCAAATTTACTTTTATCATAATTAATTTTTTGTAGAAAATATGCCCTTTTTGTAAGTTATACGTGATTGTCCATCAAATATGATAAGTTTTGCAAGATATGTATGTACTTACCTTCAACTTACCGCTCCACCAATAGACTATTGGATAATTGGTTTTAAACTTATAAGATAAATAAGATAAATAAATGAAATACCCATGCGTTTTTATTTGCATCTTACATTTATTACTTTCGATCGTCTTTAATAATAATAATTTGTACATAAACCTTTTCGTTGAATATATTTTTATTTGATGAACTTTTGATTAGCATGTTTTTATATGTTATGAATGGTGCATTCTTCATCATTCGAAAATAGTTTCGCTGATATTTTATTTTCGGAAATCGGAACAATACAGTGATATTTTCTTGTACCTGGGATCGTTTTGGCCTTTTCAAAAATGCTTTTCCATTCTGCAGCCCCTTATTCGTATTCCTTTTGTGACACAAAACAAAATGACATTTTTGTTAAATAATCATTACTCTTCTGGTTAGCCCATGCATTTAACTCTGCTGCACTTGTTATATGTTCGTGTTCTACAGCCACACTTGCGTTCCTTGCCATTCGTTTTAATGTGCCACCAATCGCGTCACATGGTACCTTGCCATGCGAAGTTGCAAAAAAGTGCCATTCAACATCAATATTGTACTTCGTTTTAAATTTACAAAGACTTGCAAAATTTTTGCTATTTTTATATTGGGATGCAGTTCCATCAGACATAAACATCGCTTTTTTTACTTGTATTTTTGTTTGCAAAAAGGTCAGTAATTTTGAAATAAATACTTGCACCGCAATTGTATCGTGTTTTAAAACTTCAGAGATTACGACCAAACATTTTTGACTATACCTGATTCTGAATAATAAATACAAAAAGGATGAATAGTAGCTTGTTGATTATTCCAGTAACTACTTTGGGCAGCATCTTGAAGAACAAATGAATAATTTTCGGAAAAATCACAAATTATGACAACTTCTCCATTTTTAAGAGTATTTTTTGTATTTCTCAAGAAACTAGACTGCTGAGTTTTAATATAATCATGGGATACCAGTTTTTTCCAACTTTTCGCAAAAATAAGGAACAAATCCATCTACTGGTTTTACAAGTTTCTCTAAACTACATCTATCAGTTGAAACCCATTGTTCAAAACAAACTTCAGACATACCCTGTTCCTCGATTTTTTCTGAAAAACTTCTTTCAAAATCTGAGAGGCCTGGAAAACGTTCGCATTCGCGGAGATAACATTGTTTAGTTCTGGATGATGAGCTGCATAATATTTCTTCAAAATAATGGTTGAAATCTTTTTCGAATGAATATTTTCTAAGACAATGAAGCATTAAATTAATATTTTCATGGATGTTACAAACACAAATATTGTGAGAACTTGAACTACCAAGTAATTTGCAATGCTTTGGTTTTAGTGCTGCAAATGAACTAAATCCAATGCTATTTTTACTAACTTCTTGAAATTTAATAAAAGTTTCTCACAATGTACAAACTAAAAGTCGCTTTTGAATGTGAATCTTCTTACCTTCCTTCTTCACTGAAACGTAATCGTTTAGTCCTGGCGTGGTTCTGCTTATCTGGTCGCTTTCGAAGAACTGCAATACCTCGTTTTTAATTTCGGGATCCAAACCGTGGCCAATACTCCTTTCCCGTTTGTCAAGCATCGAGCTTGCAATACAATGTATTTATTTGTTTCAAACTCGTCCATTACCTTTTGCGTTGACCAAGATTTCGGCAAAATCGTCAGAATCCTTATTTGATCGTCTCTCGATGAACCTGGATCAGCAAATCTCTCCTTCAGTTGTCCGATCATCTCATTGTGTTCCGCAGCTTTCAATTTTAGTTGCTCCAGGTCATCTTCTTCCGCTTGAAAACCGAAGATGCCTTTCTTAATGCCATTGGTAATGTCCATATACTTTCTCCGGGGATAGTTAACATTCTGGAATTTTTTTGTCGATATTGGCGATACGTTGATACCAGCTATGCCCTTGTTGAATAGCTCAATATTATGCGTCCTGGAAAATTGTTGCTCTCCACTATCCCGAGATGATGCTGTTGTTATTGACGTAGTTGATGGTATTTCTTCGAGGCCATGTCGAGATGTAGATGGCTGTGGCTCCGCGATGTCCATGACTGACGGTTGCACTTCTAGTTCCAGATTTTCAGCACATGGTACGATTCTATTTAAATTCAAGCGACACGTATCACAGATTGATAGAGATGTATCCAAAATAAATTTCCACACTAGGAAAAAAAATTTCGGATAATTTACGAAGCTTTGACGAACACCGTTTATAAGGAAACGGCTTGCAACACTCGACTCCATATTCAAATTATACTTGTTTTTTTGAGTAAGAGATTTTTGAGATTTTTTAGTGATGTCTGTTTTCAAAAGGATGGTCATGCTTATATACAAACGTAGGTACCATTTGGATAATCAGGTATAAATATTGTTTTGGTATTGAAGCTACTCTAACAGAGAAGCTCTTTTTTTCATGAAAAATACCATGGAAGACATTATAATGTACCTAAAATAATAAGATGGATAGGTACATCAATATTAACAACTTAAATAGGATGAAACTACGCTTGATAATGAAAATAAGTGCAACTTAACTTGTGTTGGTTTCTATATTTAAAATAATAGTGTTTTCATTTCCCCTGTAAATTCTAAACGGGTTGTCTGATTGTTCAATCGTCAAAAGACAAATTGAAGGTAAATATATGTGTATCTTGCTAAACTTATCAATGCTGATGGGAATCACGATTAACTTAAGAAAATGGTTTTGATTTTGATGAAAGTAAATTTGAAATATCTCGAAAACGGTTATATTTAGGAAGTTTATCGATATGAGCACTATCGTTTGAAATGATTTTTATAATCATATACTAACATCAAACTGAACATTTTGCCGTAAATAATGAAATTTTCAAAAATGCATTAAAAGTTGCTCTTAGAAAAACTTTTTTATTGAAAGTTTGTCCATCCTAGAGTTGTTTTAAAAACTTCAAGTTTTTATAAAAAAAATTAAAAAAAAAAATCAAAAATACGTTTTTTTTTTGTTATTTGAATTTTGAGGTTTATTTTAATTTTTTTTTTGTAAAAAAACGAAAAAATAAAAAAAAACGACGTGTATATTTTTTTTTATAAAGCCTTATTAGTTTCCTACAACTCCTTCTTAGTAAATTTTTCTACAACCAACTGTTTTCGAACTACATTTTTTTAAAAGTATGTGTGCAAAAACACATAGGCCCTTTTTAAAAATCACCCTTGAGTCAAAAGGGTCTCCTCTCCTGCGAAAAATACTTGGTCTATCATACTGAAAATATAGGCAAAGTATCATCCAAATCTTTTTTTTTTAAGTTTTATTTAAGAGATTTTTAGCCTTAGGCTAGTTCATCTCTAAGATCCAAATCGAAGATGGTCGAGCACGATTTCAGGTTTTTTCAGCTCATTCTGGATGGAATCCCAGGGGAAATTTACCCCTACATGGTAGTAGTGTTAGTATGCGTGGGCGAACTACCACTTACGCCAAAACGACTATCAAATGCATTGTTTACAAAAGTAATCGATTTTCTTGAATTTGTGTGGTTTACTTGTATGAATTTTCAAGTGACACAGATGCGTCTTTTAATCTTTAGTACATTTGAGATTTTAATTATTAATTACAGTTCCTAGCCCTATCAGGCCTGTTTTAAAGAATGACCACCTTGGTGGGATTGGTTTGTTTTAAATTGAAAAAGGAAACTACTTATAACTACTATTTACAACTACAACTAACCTACAACTACTATA